ACGTAGGCTACTGTGCTAATTAGGGGTAATTGAACCCGTAATTGTTCGTTATCTCTATCTCAGTAGCAACTGGCGTAATTGGATTTATGTCAGGGGAACATACGATCTAACCTAAACAAACCCTTTTAGCGTGTTTGTTAGTTAGGATTGGGCCTTTCTAATTCTTAATGCAATCTAGAAATTAAACCCTACGGTCATACCTAGGGTTGTTTTTGGGTTAGAGAAATAGTTAACGGTCGTACCTTAACTATCGAAAAAGTAAGAAAAGGTTGGTTGTTTATCGCGTGCATGACAACTATAACTAATCTATTAATAAATGTTGGAATTATCTGTGATTCGATGATCAGTGCATGAACCATTTCTGAAGTGTACCCTTGGCTAGAGTTTCTCTTATTATTTCTTTAAATTAATTATTTTCTGCAATTAATTTATTTTTAGCATTTAATCATGAAAACCCTCATTTGTTCTGATTCGAAAAGGAATAAATTTCTCTCCAGTCCCTAAGGAGACGACCCTGCTTACCACTGTCTACTAGTTAGTGAATTCAGTTAAATAATTAATTCAGGTATATCAGATTAAGCAAACTCTTCGAGAACAGGGTGAATCAAGTAACCCATTGCACACCTAGAGTCCCTGCTCCAGTACTCGAATTGATTATTGACTGCTTTAGGTGGTAATTAGGTTTTATTTATTATTATTGCACAGGTTCGACACCTGTCACGCATCAAGCAAGGAAGGATGCGGGGCAGGTCTCCTACTGATCAGTCCTACCGGGGAAGAGCTGGCCTATGCCCTGGGGTTCGATTTCAGAGTCTCTAATAATGAATCTGAGTATGAGACCCTGATTGCGGGAATGGAGATGGCTCGAAAATTGGGGACCGAATCAATAAAAGTCCATAGTGATTCGCAGCTGATAGTGAACCAGGTATGGGGGAGGTACGAGGTCAAGGAAGAACCACTACGGAGGTATGTCGCCAGGGCGCATGAGCTAAGGGACCAGTTCAAGCAGTTCGCGCTCCAGCAGATCACATGGAGCCAAAACACAAGAGCTGACGCCCTGTCCAAACTTGCCTCCACCTCATTTAACACTCTAAATCGAGGGATATTAGTAGAGGTCGTTAAGAGTAAGGCGTACGAACGGCTGGATGCCACAGCCATTCATGTAGTGAGCTCTTAGATGGACCCCATTGTCCAGTACCTAACTCGGGGAGAGCTCCCTCTGAGCAGGACAGAGGCCCGTAAGATTCTTCTCAAATCACAGAAATACGTACTCGCGGAGGGAGTATTATATAGGAAATCCTACTTGCAACCGTGGCTGAAGTGCATGACACCAGAAGAGGGGAGCTATGTATTGCGCGAGCTGCATGAGGGCATCTGTGGTAATCACGTCGGACCAAGGATTCTAGCCAAGAAGGGAATGTTGTCTGGATACTATTGGCCCACCATCTTCAGGGATTCGGTCGAGCTGGTGGCAAGGTGCAAGTCGTGCCAACTGCACGCCTCCGTTCATCACGCCCCGACTCAGGAGATGATTCCTCTCCATAGCCCGTGGCCGTTCTTCCAATGGGGAATCAACCTATTGGGCCCATTCCCTCGAGCTTCAGGCGGTTTTGAGCACGTAGTGGTGGCAATTAACTACTTCACTAATTGGATCGAGGTCGAACCGCTCAATACGATCAATAGCAGATCGATCCAGAAGTTCCTTTGGAAGAGCATAATTTGCTGATTTGGTATACCACAGGTCCTCATCTCGGATAATGGCCGACAATTCGCAGACAGCTCCCTCAAGGAGTGGTGCCTCGAGCTCGGCATCCGATAGCACTTTACTTCCGTGGGGTACCCGCAGGCCAATGGATAGGTCGAGAATGCCAACAGAACCATCCTGCATGGGTTGAAGACGTGAATGGAATCTGCCCGGGTTGGATGGTTAGAAGAGTTGCCCACCATACTGTGGGCATACTGGACCACACCTCAGACGGCCACCCAGGAGACCCCGTTTGTCTTGACCTATGGGGCCGAGGCGGTGATTCCGGCGGAAATAGGAGTACCCTCGAGTAGGGTGCAACATTTCGTGGCCCGGAATAATGAAGAAGAGATGCAACTCAATTTGGACCTGCTCGAGCATAGGAAGGAAGAGGCGCTCATCAGGATGGCCAAGTACAAAGGGCAGGTCGCACGGTACTACAACGATAGGGTAAAGCACCTCTCCTTCAGGTCTAGTAGAGTTTATCAGATACATCAAACTCCCAATCACTTGAGAGTATTCCAATTGATGAATTGGATCTCCTTTATGTTTTTGCAAATTGCAATTAGCATCAAAAGGAGTTACTGTTGGTTTACAATCCATTTGATTAAACCGTTGCAGTATTTTTTCAATATAATGAGATTGGATAAGAACATATCCTTCATCACTTCTTTTGACTTTAATGCCTAAAATTACATCTGCTTGACCTAAATCTTTCATGTCAAACATTGAACTCAACAATTTCTTAGTTGAGTTTATTGCATCCTTACTAGTTCCTAAATCCATGTAATACAAGAATTCTTCATTTCCTTGTAATACACACATTTGTCACATTCATTTATCTTAAATCCATATGATAACATCGCGTGATCAAATTTCTCGTGCCATTGCTTAGGTGCTTGTTTAAGTCCATAAAGAGACTTGACAAGTTTACACACCTTATTCTCTTGATTTTTTACCACAAAACCCTCCGGTTGTTTCATATAAATTTCTTCATCTAATTCACCATTTAGAAAGGCTGTTTTAACATCCATTTGATGTATATCCATGTTATATATGGCAGCTATTGCTATTAACATCCTTATAGATGTAATTCGAGAAACCGGAGAATAAGTATCGAAATAATCCAATCCTTCCTTTTGCCGATAGCCTTTAGCTACTAGACGTGTTTTGTATTTGTCTATAGAACCATCGGCTCTGAGTTTCTTTCTAAAAACCCACTTGCAACCAATTAGTTTACTTCCTGGTGAAAGATCAACCAATTCCCAAGTATTGTTTTGTGAAATAGATTGGATTTCACTATCAATTGCTTCTTTCCGGTAAGGAGCTTCAGGTGACCTCATAGTTTCACTATAGGTTCTTGGGTCTTCTTCAGTTAGATAACTGATAAAGTCTGGACCAAAATCCTTAGAGATTTTTGTCCTTTTGCTTTGTCTTGGTTCCATGTCTTGATCTTTAACACTTAATTTAGGAGACTCATTTCGACTCTCGTCAAAACCTCTTTTCTTTGAGATTATCTCCTTATCTTTATAAGGCACAATTCTTTCAAAAAATTCAGCCTCATTGGACTCAATAATCGTATTAATATGAACATTTGGATTCTCAGATTTAATCATTAAGGACCTGTAAGCTGCACTGTGATTTGCTAAACCGATAAAAACACAATCAACAGTCTTAGGTCCTAACTTTGTCCTTGTAGGTATAGGAATTAAGACCTTTGCTAGACAACCCCACACTTTAAGTGTTTTATATGTTGGTAATCGTCTTCTCCATATCTCATAAGGAGACTCATTAGTCTTCTTATATGGTATTCTATTCAAGATATGATTCGCAGTAAGCAATGCCTCACCCTACAAATTATGAGGTAAACCCGAGCTATTTAACATGAAATTCATCATGTCTTTAAGTGTTCTATTCTTTCTTTCTGCTACACCATTTTGTTGAGGTGCAAAAGGTGCAGTCGTTTGATGAATTATTCCATGTATAGCACAAAATTCTGCAAAGGCATCAGATTCATATTCTCCACCTCTGTCTGATCGTATTGCCTTTATCTTTTTTCCAAGTTGATTTTCAACTTCGGCTTTGTAAATTTTAATATTTCCAAAGCTTCATCTTTACTTTTGATCAAGTAAACGTAGCAATACTTACTACAATCATCAATGAATGTGATAAAATAATTTTTCCCACCACGGGTAGGAAGTAACTTAAAGTCACATATATCCGTGTGAATTAAGTCAAGTAATTCACTTGTTCTTCCTTGGACAGATTTATAAGTATGTCTAGCAAATTTTGATTCAATGCATACTTCACATTTTCTTTTAACATCAAAGTCAAATTTAGGAATAAGTCCCAAATTCATCGTTCTATGCAAAGATCTAGAATTAACATGCCCTAGCCTTGCATGCCATAAGTCAAAGGAATCAGCGATATAAACAAAAATATTATTTTTATTCATAGCACTTGCAACCATTACATTTAATTTGAACAAACCATCAGCCAAATAGCCTTTTCCTACATGCATTCCACCCTTAGTAAGTACAAATTTATTGGACTCAAACACAAGCTTGAATCCTTTTTGGTTAAGGAGTGGACCAGAAACTAGATTCTTTCTAATATCAGGTACATGAAGAACATTCTTGAGGGTTACAACTTTTCCAGAAGTGAACTTCAACTTGATAGTCCCTTTCCCCTCCACTCTTGAAAAAGAGAAGTTTCCCATGTAGAGCTTTTCACCATTTGTGATCTTATTGTATTCACAAAATAGATTTTCATTCGAACGGATGTGCCTTGTGGCTCCGGTATCAATCCACCAGCCCTTGACATCAGAAACGACGTTCACTTCAGTCACTACAGCAACAAAATTGTCTTCATCGGTGTCCATATGCTGAACATTTTCTTCAACCATGTTTGCTTCCTTGTTCTTCAAGGAGTTAGCATCATTTTGGCCCTTTCTGAAATAACAATCTTTTGCCTTGTGCCCTAGTTTTCCACACACCCAGCATGACCCTCTGATCTGCTTGAAATTCTTGCCTTTAAGTGCCATAGAATTTCCAGCCCCTCCTACTCTCTTTTTGCCTTTATTCTTTTGGAATTTTGACTTGGAACTCGATCCCTCAATCATATTGGCTTTGGCCTCCATGGATGGTGCATCACTCTTATCACCCTTGCGATGATCTTCCTCTACTCGCAACCTCAAGATCAGATCCTCCATGGACATCTCTCTACGCTTGTGTTTCAAGTAGATTTTGAAATCATTTCAAGATGAAGGCAATTTTTCAATTATTGCTCCAACCTGAAAGTGTTCATTAATTGAGCATCCTTGCCCATGTAACTCATGCATGAGAATTTGAATCTCTTCTACTTGTTTTGTCACTGGCTTTGAATCCACCATTACATACTTGAGGAATTTTCCAATCACAAACTTTTTGGCCCCAGCATCATCCATTTTGTATTTCTTCTCCAGTGAATCCCAGACTTCCTTCGCAGTAGAATACGCTGAATATATGTCATATAGCGTATCATCGAGACGATTGAGAATATAGTTTCTGCAAAGGAAGTCAGACTGCTTCCATGTCTCTACAGTCAAGAGAGACTCTCTTGAATCTGGATCCGCTAGCTTGGGACATTCCTCCTTGAGGATGTGTGCCAAGTTCAAGGTTGTAAGATAAAATTGCATTTTCTGCTGCCATCTTTTGAAATCTACTCCCTTAAACTTTTCTGGCCTTTCATCATTGATCTTGTTAGAGATCTGAACATCTGATTTCACATCAGAACTTGAAGCCATATCTTTCAACGGCTTTCAAGTGAAACCAAATCAATGAACTAATAAAGATAGACTCAAGAAAACCTCCAACAAAAAATTTCTGTTTTCGAATGTTGGAGACTAAAGAAAAGTCTAAGAAATAGGAAACGGAAAACTACCAGTAACAAATCTTACTAGTAAACAAGTTCAAATCACTGATGTGATAAACTAGAACAATGTTAATAACAATAACTTACTAACTTACAAATCACAGAGGCTTGATCTTTGATCAATGTCCTAAAACAGAATTTTGCTCATTCCCTTTGTGCAGAAGTGCGTGAGCAATCTGTCCCCAGGATTCAACTGTGAATTCTCCCTCAAATTTGCACAAGAATTTAGGAAGTCTATGAAATCTGTGTCTTCACTTTTCTCTCAAGATGGTTCTATGGAATTTCTGCAGAGACGTTTTTTTTTAATACAACAAAGGGAAAGAAAAAATGGTTACCAATTTTCTGCCCTACTAACATATTTATAGATCAAAAGTCATGAAGAAACTGTTGGTAGACAGTTTTTAGACCAAAAGTCATGACTTCCCAACCGAAAGTCAAAAAGAAACTGATCTGGAAAAAATGAAGAATCATGACTTTTAAGAAGAAACTTCCTAGACCAATGAAGGTTTTAATTCAAACCTCATTTTCAACAGTTAGTGAATCAAAAGTGTTCATGGTTGAAACTGTCATATGAGTGGAGAAGATGGGATGGCATAACTTACCATATTGACAATTGAAGGGAACGTATTACTTTCAGAATTGCTCTAATTAGCAAAGAAACCAGCCACAATTTTGAGTGCAAATTCAAATTAATCTACTTGGATTAGGTCACGGAACAATTAAACGTCTGGAGGAAAGTAACCCCATTGCAGCCCACTTTCCAGATTGAATCTCTTCACTCCTAACTATTCATTTCAATAAGTATACAAGCTTTCATGCTTAGCTAACTACTCACATGGGATTATAACTGCCGTATATATGACGAGAATAACACATGTAAAAATTGCAAAAAGACAAGTAAATGGGACTTTTACATATATAGCTATGCGTAATTGTGCAAGAAATTAAGAACATGGGATTAATGTTATGAGAAAATAGCAGAAAGAATGGGGGAAACAAGTATAAGGGATCATTGTTTCGTCTTCCTAGTCAACACTAGACTTGAATATAGACAGTATTTTGCATATAAAATGATTTTTCCTTGGGGAATTATGCAGCAACCACAAAAATATAGACTTACATAAAAAAACAAAAGGGGAGTTAACTAATTCTTGGTTACCTGGAAAAGTTGCAAAAATCAAATTTGTTAGCCCGCAATTTTTTGCAGATTAGATTGCAAGAAGTTGAGAAAGATAAGCTTCTACTTTTTAAATTAGTCTTCAATAGCATATCATGTAGTTAGAAGGATGAAGGGAAAGCCTTCAAAATAAATGATAGGATTCAAAATTTGTCAATGACGAGGAACAACGACTCATAGTTCTAAAGACATAGACATACAAGGAAAATGACTGAGATTACGGGAATGTTTAGGAAATCACATTGATAATATTAGATAGAGAACACAAGTCAATGAATTACTATGAACATACATCCCAAAGAAGTTATTAAAAGGATAGCACACATATAGAAAGAGAAATTGAACCTATTCATCCCAAAGAAGTTTGTTTTATGACTATTTGTATTGGACTTGTAGTAGAGACAGAATATTCTTAAGCCACATGGATCTTTCACTCGATCCATGACCCATCTCGAATAAGTTTGATTTCTTTTTAAGTAAATTACTGCACAGCAGTTTAACTATTCTACTAGTATATCGCATAGTGATTTTCTTTGAAATATTATTTGAGCACGTTATTCAATTACCTAATTAGTATCCCAATTACCATGGTATCTCATGTCGCATACATCACGTTTCAGAAGGTAAAACAGCATCGTTCTCCTAGAAGACGTTCTTAAAGATCACAATCCAAATGGAATTGTTTTCTACTTATTTGTCTTCTCTACTGCGAAAGAATGGTAATTTGCACTTTGCAGTTAGAATTTTAGTAATAAAAAGGCAGACGAATGGATGTGCATTTTGTTATCAAACTCAAAAATTTTAGATTTTGTGGATAATACCATCTATATAATTATTTGGGACAACAGAATAACTGTTGGGGCACCACAAATGGGTCATGGTCGCCTAAAAGAATGAACGAATAAGGTTTGGAGGATGGAATTTGGTGGACGTACGTTCGAATTTTCTCTGACTTTCAATATATCAATATATATATATTATTCCTCTAGAAAAATCCCCATTCACAAAGTCATTAAATATTTCAATAGTATCTGTTTAATTTAACTTTATCTTAGAGGTCATGCCACCATTTGTAAGTCAGTTTGTCATGTTGTAATTAATGATATATTTCTATTGATTCAATAATTATCTTCTGGTGGCTTGAGACAGAAGTTTATCAAGTTTGGTATCTTATGTTTTTTTTTAAAAATATATATATAATTTTTTATTTATAATCTCTCATACTTTACCATCCAACCCAACCTCCTCCCAGTTTGGTACCTTAAGTTGAAAAGTATATTGCTAAAATTTTACACGGTTGTCTTTTCTATTTGAGATTAACTTTCAAAACAACTTTAGACCCATGGGAGTGTATTGTTCACCATAAACAATACAGTGCTTTAGTTAAAAAATATTTATAATCTATTTTTTATGATTTATAACTTGTTTGGTATATTATACATAAAATAAAAAAAAAGAATTCCTCACAATTCTTTTAGGCTATCCTAAAGCCAATCAATATCCCATCAATCAAGATAATCACGAGAATAGTCGTTTGATTATTCTTTTTATGACTTATGACACATGTTTAATTTAGGTAAGGCACTCGATTTTATTAGAAGAAAGAGATTATCATTACCATTTCTTCACCTCTATCATGTCTTCCACGGTACCTTTCTATGCTTACCATCCTTCTAACTTGGCTCTTAAAGTAAGGAAAAAATAATGATTATAATATTTTTTATGATATAATGTATGTAAAATAAAAAGGTAATTTAAAATTTTTAAAAATAATTAAATTTATTATACAAATAAAGTAATGACCGAAATAATTTGGATGGCCAATCACCCCTACCGATTCCATGCTATTGTAATGTGCAGTTCATATCTCCTACACAACATGCCGTGGTATAAGTTGGCCAAAAATACCTAATTATGTCAAATCCAAACCGAAATTCTTTGGTTAATGGGATTGTCTAAACATCAAGTATGCGAAACCTGAAAAGTACAAAGAAGTAAGTGAGCATCATCATGAGTTTCTTTCTTTTTTTTCCCCATGAGTACAAAGTTTTAAAAGAATGGTAAATGCAGTACAAACTACAAAGTTTAAACCATGAGTACAAAGAAGTAAAAAGAATGGTAAATGCAGTACAAAGTTTAAACCAATGAGCTTGACTCAGTGGCCACTGGAGAGGGACTGGGTTAGGTCCCTCCTTGCAAAAAAAATTCAAGGGGGATGCTATGGGCCATAGGAGAGGGGTTCAAATTCCATCTGCAACAAAAAAAATCCAAGGGGGTGCTATGGGTTGTAGGTGGGGGATTAAACCCCACTATAGCAAAAAAAAATCCTATAGCACTCCTTAATTTAGTCAGCTCTGCATATTTACTAACCCTTAATACACAAGTCTCTTTAGAATCTCCCTCGCTGTAAATAGTGATGGCAACAGAGCGGGGTTGGGGCGGGGGACCCCCCTCCCCCATCCCCCGCCCCACTGCCTACAAATTCCCCCCGTCCCCGCCCCGCCCCGCTTCTCCAGCGGGTGTCCCACGGGACTAATAAAAATTTGTTATATAATTTTATTATAGTTAAATTTTAGCAAATAATCAAGTACTAAAATATCAACACATCATCAAATTATTATTCATTGTAATTTTACAATTGAAACTTATAAAAACAATCAAACAAAAATTATTTGAATACAATCCAATATGATGAAATAAATATAACTAAAGTAATCAAGTTTTCACTTTTGACACAGATACAATCATCAATTCATTATTGTGCTTGTGCTTTTTTTAAGAAAAATTGTTTTTGTATTAAGTGTAATTAGGGATTTAGTATAAATGTATTAATAAATTTAGTATAATCAATTAATAATTTGTATTAGTACACATATATAATTATTAGTATAATTAATAATATCAATTATATTATATATATACTAATAAACATTATATAATACATATAACTAATAATATCATTATCATAAGTTTGTAACTAATTAAATTATATAGGGAAAATGGTCAATTTAGTCCCTAAACTTTTTTTACTGTCAATTTAGTCCCTATTTAATTTTTTTTGGCCAATTTAATTCCTATACTTATTCATCGGTTCCAATTGAGGAATATCGTGGCGGCGCCACCTTATAATTTCGATGAAACTTCTAATTGAACAATTAAACAGGGGTATTTCAGGTACTTCACTGATGAGCAATAAAATAAGAAGTAAAATAGAAGGGAAAATTTACCAACACATTTTTATAGCAAGAAAAACCCACCGAACTTCATTAACCTATTAGTATAACAAATCAAAGAGATTTAATCAAGGGGTGGTGATCGGGGGGTTCTATACAAGGCGGTAGTGATGGTGGTGGATGGGTTCTATACAATGTAGTGGTGAAGGTGATTGAGGTGGAGGCGGGGAGTGCACAACTGGCGGTGGAGGTGGCGAGCGTACAAGTGGTGGGGGGCGGCGATGAGTAAATGTACACTGGTGGTGGAGGTGGGGATGAGTTTGGTGGCTGAGGAGGTGGTGAATTATAATATTAGGGGATAGGTGGTGGAGAGAATAGAGGAGGTGGTGGAGAATTTGGTTGTAAAGGTAGTGGTGAGCATACACAGTATGGCGGAGTCGGCGAAGGAGATGGAGGGAAAGGTAGAGGTGATGAGATAGCTGGAGGAGGAGGTGGAGATGGCGGTGGATAAGATGGAGGAGG